TGCTATCACTCAGGAAGCAGAGGCAGGCAGCATGCAGATCTCTGTCAGTTCCCAGCCAACTAAGGCATTATAGAGAGACGTTGTCTAATAAATTCATAGCTGCTTAAATAGTCAGATTTCTACTCAATTATTTATTTGCATTTTAAATTAGTTAAATCTGGTCAAGTCTAGTGTTATGAAAAACAGGTTACATAACACAATTTAATAGTAGCTTTCAAATTCTTTGACTAGAGAACATAATTCTGCAGAGAAAATATATCTTTGCTACATGAATTTTGAGTTTCTTTCCTTTTTATATTTTATCCTCTCTGTAAAGGCAGGCTTCCAATGATCTACACTACATTGATTTCATAACACATTTTTTATTTAGGCTATAACTAAAAGCATTGCTACAGAGTATAGGAAACATGATAAATTGCCAGTGACATAGCACTAATGCTGTCACTACACATAAAGAAAATATCAAAACTAATTAACTTTACTTATAGACTGACACTTATTAAATAATAACTTACTATTCTGTATCTACATATAGTTTGAAACAATTTCAATGCAAAGTTCAAATGCAAAATTTTACAGTCAGTACTCAAAAAAATGAAGGAAGGTGAAACTAAAATGCACTTTTAAAAAGGAAATGCAAACACCCTCTCCACTATGGCTAGGAGTCTTAGGTCACCAGGAATCCATAGATTCCTGAGAATTTCTCTAACACCAGGTTTCTCCCAACCCCATAATGGCTCCCTCTATCAAGGTATCTCTTTTATTGCTCTTCCTCTCCAGCCCTCCCCAACTTGGCCTTCTCCATCCCTCATGTTTCCAACACCCATCCCCTCCCTTTTATGTCCTCTCCCAGTTTACCCAGGAGATCTTAACTATATTCCCTTCCTGGGGTCCTCCATGTGTGTCCCACTCAGGGTCCTCCTCTGTAGCTAGCTTCTCTGGAGCTGTGGATTGTAGCCTGATTATCCTTCTGTCTAATATCCACTAATGAGTGAGTACGTACACACCATGTTTGTATTTCTAGGTCTGGGTTACATCACTAAGGATAATCAGATTAGTGACTATCTTAAATGTCATCAAAGGACTTACATCCAGTAACTGATGGGTGCAGATGCAGTGACCCACAGACAAGTATAAAAGAGGGAGGAGGGATCATATGAATAAGTGGAAGGGGGGTCAAGATCATGATGGGAAAACCACAGAGACAGCTAACTGGAGTTAGTGGGAGATTAAGGATTCTGGGGAACCTCCATGGGCCTGAACTAGTTCCTATGAATGTGGGTGACAGATATGTGGCTTGATTTGTTCAGAGAAGGGGTGCTGGCAGTCGAATGAGGGCTATTCTTGGGTGCATGAAGTGGCTTTTTGAGCCCATTCCTTATGGTAGGATACCTTACTCAGCACTGTTACAGGTGGGGAAGGTGTGCTTGGTTCTGCCTCAATTTGGTATTCCAGACTTTGTTTATGCCCCAAGGGAGATCTTACCCCTCTGAGGGGTAGATGGAGGGGGGGGGGAGTAAAGGCAGGCAAAAGGGAGGGAGGGGGAACTGGGGTATATATGTAAAATGAAAAATAATTTTAAAAAGATTCACCAAGTTATAATTTCAATATTCAGTCAAATTCTAACCTAGATATTCTGTTTCAAACTTTGGGAATTCTACCTTTTAAGGGTAACTTATTATTCTCTGAAACCCTACAGCTTTCCATAGTTATTGTGTGAATGGCAAAGAATGGTATGTGCTGGTCAGTTTTTGTCAACTTGGCATAAACTAGAGTCCCCTGAGAGAAGCATACCACAATGAAGAATTGCCTCTACAAGACTGGCCTCTGGGCATGGCTGTGTTATGTTTTCATGATTAATGTTTGATATGGAAGGGCTCAGCCCACTATGGGCATTGCTAGATCTAGGTAGGTGATTCTGGGTAGTATAAGAAAGCAAACTGAGAAGGGTGAAGAACAAGCCAATATTCTGCCATGGTCTCTTGCCTCTTTGTTTCTGCCATAAATCACTGCCCTAGTTTTACTTGATGATGGGCTACAACCTACTAGACAAATAATTCCTTTCCTTCCAAGTTGGTTTTGTTCAGTGTTCTATCATAGCAATAGAAACCAAACAAAAACATGTTGTGACCTTTGTGGTGGCTATTGTGCTTTCTTATGACAACAGACTCCAAACAAATATAAACAGTTTTCTATAGAGCTGTGGAATATGCCAATATCCATAAGGCATTAGTCAATACAATAGTGCCTTATACATAACAGGTATTTAAATAATGAATGCATAACCTGGTATTATCATATTTAGTTTTTAAAAACATAAAACTTTAAAGTAAAACAGACCTCTGTTTTTCCAGATGTCACCCTTTTTACTATATCTGTGACAACAGGTAAAGTAAGTAGGCTTTCCCATTTGTTTGCTAACATATAAAGTGATGATAGCATTGCTATTTATTATACAAGGACATCATAAGCATCAATAATAACCTAAGTCATGTAAAACACACCAGTACCATGTCTCCAGTATCCATAAAGGTTGAATGAAATAAACTTCAGTGATAATGTTCTGTATTGATACATCACTCATTTATAATACAAATCTACTAGGAGACTGTCACCTTGGTAAGTTTTGAAAAAAAAAAAAAAGGTGTTCATGGTTGCTAATATTTAATGTGTAGTTATTTTATGTCACATGTTTCAAACTTCATCTACCTTCATTACATCTAAAACAACTCATGTAAGAAAATGCTATTACTGCCTTCCTTATTCTTGAATGCATAGCAGGGATACAGAAAAAATTAAGTAGATTTCCCAGTGATACAGAGCTAAACTTCTTAATTAGGATATATCCTCAGGCAATCTAGTTCCATGATCTATAATATTCCATGCTATACTAAAGCACTTTCTGTGTACATGGGATGACTTTTCATATGGTATAGGGACTAACAGCAAGAAAATACACCTTTGAAATATGTCCACTAAAAGTCAAAGAACTGCAGAGTAGGAAACTGTTCTTCAGATTGCTGTAATGCTACTTGGTGCACATATGATATACATTCTCACAGATGAGGTAAAATAAGACAGATGAAACCAGCCTGCACAAAGAACAAGAGGAGTGCTCTATCAATGCATGCAATATCACCTAGTCAGTTATTCATTCATTAAACAGTGTCTGTGAGTTAAGTACCATTGCTAAAGCTTTATGGAATGAAGCAGGCCCCTGTGTGGGAAGTGTTCTATAGTTTTCCATTAGTGTCAGTAATGTTACAGTTATTGTCTGGTACAGCACAAGCAACTGACCCTGTCTACATACAGATCTCCATTGTCACACTAACCCTACAACACTAAAATAAAAGATAGTTTTAATTAGAATGGAGCTTACTAATACTAACAAACCAGAGTTTCAATATGATGCATTTTAATTACAAAAAATGAAACAGCCTTGATAGTTTCACTTAAGGGATGTAATTGTACCATGGCTGTAATGCCTGACTGTGCAGCTGAAAATAACAGTAGGTCTAGTGAGTGATATGTTCCATATATATCAATGCTCTTTATGATTAATACTCCATAGGATAGGTAAAAAAAAATTTCTGGTTTGATAACTGTAGTGAGATAGTCCTTCTGTGGCACTCACCACGCCCATTGGGGGGTGGAGCCATGGGCGGAAGTGACCTGTGGAGGGAGGTTGGAGAGAGAGCAGGAAAAGCTCTCTTTCTGGCCTGACTCGGACAGGAGAGCATGGGGTTGAATTTCCTGGTATTCATCTGTCTAGGTTGTAAGTTATTTCTCCTTGAATAAACATCTATTCGGCCTATTTGTTTATCCTGATCCTTATTTAACCGCAATAGATAACTTTACATGATAAGTGGCAGCAATCAGCTTCCATGCCAATTTTATAGGGAAATTAATAAAGCAAGTTCAGGCACATTTCTGTTGCATGGAAAGTATTAGAGCATTTTTTTTCCCCTGTGAAATAACTTCTTTTTTCCTGTCACTAACAAATCTTAGTTCTGAGTAACACCTTCTAAGGTAATTTCTTCCTCAGGGCCTTATACACATCTTCCTGCCAACACGGACATGAACCAGAACAGTGGAGAGTTTCCACTAAGCACAGCTGATATTATGATCAATGAAATTTTTCATTTTTCTAAATTAATCACTGAGCCTATGATTATTGAATCAGAGAATATAGTTTATTAACCTATAAGCCTATAAATTCTCTTTCAAATATTAAAGTTTCCTACTTCCACCATGCTGTCTACAAAGTCTAGCAGGCCAAGCTTGCCTTGACCTGCATTTAAAGTCTCAAATATTACTTTTGTTTCTGTCCCTTCAAATATGTGACTCAGATTTCTCTGAGAACAAGTTCTGATCTTTTGCTAACTACAAAGTCTCATCTCTCTTTAATGTGTCTTTTATAAATTACATCCCTGAAGTAAAACTTCAAATGGAAGATCAAATCTTTAAAATGATGGCGTATGTATTAATGTGTCTGCTCCTTCACCAAAACAAAATAATCCAAAGAAAGAATGACAAAAATGCATTGTATGTCTTTATTGTTTCCATTCTTTTGCTTGTTTTCTTGGATTGCAATTACATATTAAAATTGTATCTCACTTAATCAGATTAGATTTTATTGGTTTTTGATGTACCACAGTATTAAAATGCATTTAACGGAAGCTAATTTTTAAGCTGCTTAATTTCTCAGAGACAAAGACATTGCCAAATAACATAGAATCCAACTCATAATAAGAAAAAGCATGAATGAAACATATACAACTCGAGAAACTACATAGGGCATACTTGTCTTTTTAAATGAATATAGAAAATTTAAATGATTTTCTATATGTTATATTACTTATTTCAGTAATGTCAAATTAGTTTGAGATACCACTTACCAGCAAATGTCAACACATAAACAATTTTTCTAAAATTACTATAACAATTCAAAATAACATATAACAAAGTAAAATTAAATAATATCCTAATAACTATTTTACCTTTGCATTATAGGGAATGTAATGTTTTGATAATGCTTCAGGCGTATGCATCCATGTTTTGTCTGTAACAGAGAAAATGCAGTATCAAATTAAACCACCATTTTTTATAATGCTGTGTTCATACATTCTCACCTGAAGGAAATCTATACTGGGGAAGACACTCTAACTTTTAAACTTTCTTAAATTAAGATGCTGTAACTGGAAATGATTAAGGTGTTATTGTGTTCTTACTATGAAAGTCATCCATTAATTATTAGGGTGTCACTATGCAGATAAGGCTGGGCATAGCACAATTGCTGTCCTTCTGTTACAAACACAACCACTTCTCCTGGTCCTTACTTTATAAGAAATATATAGTGGAGCTATGAGCAAAACCAAACATGCATTTTAAGATAAGTATCCTTTTTTCTTTTATTTAATCCTTTCAAAATTCATCTGAGATGATTTTAAATTATGTCAACAGAAACTAATATGGTATCATTAATATGGGTTTTACAAAGTGGAGGTGCATAAAGATGAAAAATTGCATATATTTCTGTAATGTCACTTGTTTTGGGACAATACAAAATACCTATATTAAACACATTTATGTGCTAGCAAGTTTCTAAGATAAAACATTGAAGGGTCAACGGCATCATGACTATTTCTGTGCACATAGCATAGCAATTCAGAGCTGTAAGTGGGTAAAATAAATTAAGAAGCATGCATATAAGATTTAAACATAATATTGACAATGTCATTTAATTTGTTAAAATGTTAAAGGGCTAGAGAGACAGATCAGTAGGATCTATCACCCTGCACAAAACTCGAGAACAACTGGATCAAAGATCGCAACATAAAACCAGACACACTAAACCGGATAGAAAAACAGGTGGGGAACAGCCTTGAATGTATTGGCACAGGGGTAAATTTTCTGAACAAAATGTCAATAGCACAGGCACTAAGAATGGCAGTTAACAAATGAAAACTCATGAAAGTGAAAAGCTTCTTCTGTAAAGCAAAGAACATTGTCAATAATACAAAATGGCACCCTAAGAATGGGAAAACATTTCAACAACTCCATTGCTCAACTATGTTCATAGCAACATTATTTGTAATAGCAAGATCCCAGAGGCAACTGAAGAAAGGATAAAGAAGATGTGGCACATCTACACAATAGAATACTACTCTGCAGAAAAAAATAATGGAATCTTGAAATTTGCAGGCAAGTGGATGGCACTTGAAGAAACCATTCTGAATGAGGGAACCCATCACAAAAAGAGGAACATGGTATGTACTCACTCATATATGGATTTTAGACCTAGAGCAAAGGATCACCAGCCTATAATCACACCACCAGAGGAACTGGGATACAGGTATATTCTAAGAGATTCATATAAAGTCTCTCACAGAAGGGAGAAGTGACAAGTCCCCCAGAGCACAGGGGAAGTGGGGGAGGGTCAATGACTGGAGAGAGAAGTAGGAAAAGGAAAAGGGGAGGAGAGAGGAAAGAAGATGCGACTAGGAAGATTGAGTCAGGGTAGAAATAGAAGACAGAAGAGAGAGGGAGAGAGAGAGAAGCCAGAAGAGAGAGGGAGAGAGAGAGAGAGAGAGAAAGAGCTAACATAAAAGAGGAAGCCATTATTGGTTTGAAGAGAAAACTGAACCTAAAGAAAGGTCTAGAGACCTACAAGACTGCAGCCAACTAACAATTTGAGCAACCGTGGAAAGGCTACCATAAATGCCCTTTCTGGATAGTGAGATCAACAACTAACTTATCCACCATCATGGAGCTCTCATCTAGTTCCTGTTGGAAACATAAGCAAACACCCATAACTAAACATTGGGTCAAACTAGAATCCAAATGCACAGGGAGAGGACAAGACCAGGTTGTAGAAACACATAGAGAGAGCTGACTTGAATAAGAAGGAGCTAACGGGCCCCAGACTGATAGCTGGGAATCCAGCATGGGACTGACTCAGGCCCCCTGAATATGGGTCTCAGCTAGAAGGACTGAGCAGTCTAAGGGACCTCAGACAGTGGAACCAGGATGTATTCCTGGTGCACAAAAGGACCTTGTGGACACATCCCCCATGGAGGGATACTGCCCTAACCTAGAGACAGGAGAGAAGTCCTAGTCCCTACTTCAAATGTCTTGACAGATTTACCTGACCCCACGTGGATGGCATTGCCCTACATGTGGAATTGGAGTGGGGGGATGGGAGGGACGGGTGGTCAGGGTGCATATGAGGGGGGAAAGAGGGTAAGAGGGAGGGAGGGTAAGAAAAGAGGGAGAAGGAACTGGGATCGACATGTAAAACAAACAAATAAATAAATAAAACAACTCCTTATCTGAGACAGGACTATACTCATAGATTGGTTCCTAGCCCAACTATCATTATAGAGGTTTCATCCAGCAACTCATGGAAACAGAAGCAAACCCATAACCAAACATTAGGCAGAGCTCAGGGAATCCTGAAGAAGAGGGGAAGAAAGGATTGTAAATCCCAGATGGGTCAAGGACACAAAGAAACACACACACTATCTAACCTGGGCTCATAAAAGCTCAAAGAGACAGAACCAACAACCAGGGAACCAGCTGGGGCCTGACTTAGACCTTCTGCTAATGTGGTATAGCTGTGTAGCCTTTTCTTTGTATGGGACTCATAACGGTGAGAACAGGGATGTCTCTCACACTGCTCCCTGATTTTGAGACCCTTTCCTTCTGTCCGGTTGCAGCATCCAGCCTTAATAGAGGAGGAGGCACCTACTGTCACTGAAATTGGATATACCATGGGTGGTTGATAACCATGGAATTCCTGCCTGAAGAGACACAGTGGAGGAGGAGTGGATGAAAGGGGGTAGAGGGCTGGGAAAACAGGGGAAACTGCAGATGGAATGCAAACACAAAAAAAAGCTTTTGAAAAAAATACTTGTTGCCCTTGCAGATGACTCTGGTTCAGTTCACAGCACCTACACAGTGACTCAAAGGGATGGCAATTCCGGTTCCAGAGAATCTGATTGTGCTCTTCTGGCATCCAGAGGTACCAAGCATGCACATGGTACACAGATATACATACAGGCAAAACACAACATTACACATAAAGTAAAAGTAAATAAATCTTTTTTAAAAGTTGTATTATCTAGATTCACATCTTATTTATACTTTTTATAATTACTAGTAAATATGACTAAATCAAGAATAGCTTTAAAGATTTTTTTCAGATAGTCTTGTTTTTTTTACACAGAAGGTTTTAGATAAAGTGCTGGGAAGATGTCTCAGTTGATAAAGTGCTTGTTGAATAAGCATGAGGACATGAGTTCAGATTCCCAGCACTCATGTGAAGTGGTAGGTACTACAGCTCATGCTGTCATATTAGATCTGGGGAAGATGAAGACTATAGAATCCCTAGGACTTTTGTTACAGACAATGTAGACAATGAGTAAGCTCCTCATTCAGTGAGAGATACAGTCCAAAAAACAAGGTTGATAGTGATTGAGGTCTGACCCGGACATTAATTCCTGTCTTCTACACATGCACACATATGTGTATATACTTATGCACACACACACACACACACACACACACACAATCATAACATAAAATTTGGTAGGCTTGGTGGCTCAAGACTGTAATACCTAAACTCAAGAGCTCAGGTCAGGGAGATGACTCTAAGTCTGAGTGATGGCCTGAGATACATAATGAACTGCTAGATACTAAAAAATGAGACTCTGTCTCACAAAATAAAGAACACTGTAAATTAAGTATTACACATCAAAACAGTGAAAATGTCAAAGGTTTGGCTTTAATAAGTTTGAAAAAAATATAATTTCTCTTTTCATCTTTTTAAACAATTCATCTCAAGCTACTGTCCAGGATGATGTAATGTCAAACTGTTAGAGAATACAATGTCATGAGAGTTCGTCCCTATCCTGAAGTAGAAAGAGAAGAGATTCTCTGTGCTAGTCATTGTTACTGGAAGACTAGAGCCCTTCTCTGCCACTGTCTCAAACCCAGTAACCTAGATAAAAGGTAGGCACACAGGGGCATTTGAAGACAAAATAACATGAACATAATAGGATGGTTCTTTCTTCATTGTCAAATTGATTGGACATGGAGTAAGTCAGGGGATACACATCATAATGTATTTCAAGGACTTTCCAGATAGGTTTAATTCAAGAGGGTATCTCCTACCTAAAAGTAGTCACCAGCCTCTTGCATGTTTAAAAAGAAACAAAAGAGAAACAGATGAAACCTGTTACTGCTTTCTCCTCTATTTCCTGGCCCATCAAGATGTTAGTATCCCAACCATGTATGTTCAATAATGTGAATCTCAACCCTTCTCCACCACAATGGGAACACCTATTCCAAACTAAATAAACACCTATTCCAAGCAAAATAAATTATTCCTTCCGTAAGCTGCTTTCGAGTTTTAACACCATGTCATAAAATCTAACTATACCTATATTTGATTTCCAGTGGATAAGCTGAAATTTCTGACAAAAATCAATGTTCACACAATATCCAGTATTGTAGTTTATGGGTTGTCTATCATATATAACTTTGTTTTTAGGTAGAGTTCTTATAAAACTGGAAAGATATCTTAAAAAGTTCTTAGTACCAGCCAAATTAATATAATGATTAAAAAAAAAAAAGAAAAAAACAGAGACAGACAAATTATTGTTGTTAACTGATGGATGTTGTAGGTCCTAGACAGGTGAGTCCAGCTGTTGGCCCTTGGTCACCATTTCTAACCACAGAAGCAGTAAGATAATGAGACTGTTATATAAATAGGGACATAAGACATTTCAGACCATGCCCACATTCCTTCCAATTACACTAAAAGCACTTATTCAAATTTAACAGGCACATAAAAGGAAATGCCAATATTTCAAAATACTTGACAAATGCAAACCACTCCAATGCTAGGCCAACAAATATAGGTTATATTTAGATAAACATATTATCAGAAAAATGTAATAATTTCATTGTTTTTGTATGATGAGAGCTCAAAATAACACAAGAAAAGCATATGTTTCTAGTATATTCCATTTAATATAAAATGTTGTTGAGCTAATGGATATAAAATAAAATTTCTGAAAAGAAGAAAATAACTCTTAATATTTTTGGGTGCTAAACATTATAATTACACTTACTTATCAATGTCAATTGGTAAGTTAAAGAAAACAAAAGTGAAATCAGTAACATTTATTAACATATTTTGCTGCATGATTTATTTTTTAATACAATGTGAATTAAGCAATTCAAAAATACTAACAGAAAAAAAAAGAAACATAACATAAAGGCAACCATTAAAGTCTAGCCCATGATGCTAGCTAGAACAGCTTGTAAGAAGTTTTTCAGAATAGCTCAGAAGCATGCAATTCCCATCTATGCAGCATTTTCCCTGTCAGGACATCTACAAAGAGCATCAGAAAAGGGGCTAGAGTTAAGACAGGAAAGAAAATAGCTATGTGTGTGTACTAGATGGTCATGGCTTTACCTGACACTCTTGAACCAGTTAATGGGATTGTGTGCATTGACTAAGTAAACTGGGAAAAAGAAATGAGCTCTTCCTGATGGAGGGCCTTTTTGTCTGTTTAAAATACTATGCATATTACGTGCTGATACTAGTTACTGGAAACACACTGAATTAGATAGTTTTCCAATATAGGACTATGACTCCAGATGTTAAGATTACTTGAATTCTCTCATTAAATTCAAATTTTCCATTTCAAATTAAACATAATGCTATTGTTTTTCCAGCATATGCAAGTATATCTTATTATATAATAAATAGCCACAAACTCACCACCCTATTGGGACAAACGTGACACATACTAGAGGAGAACATCTTCCAGGGCAGCTCTGATGAGCATCATCAGTGTTCAAGAATAAAGGATCCCTGTGGTGATAATCTTTCTTGCACAAATAAAGCCTGTCTAGGGGTCAGAGAATAGAGTTTGCCACTAGCTAACCAAAAAAAAAGTCTGGAGGTCTGTACAGAGAGACAGGAAGTGTCACAGCTGGGCAGAAACAGGATATAAGCAGGTAGAAACAAGAAATCACTTCTCTGCAGAGATTCTTAGGAGCTAAGGTGTGGCTGTGGCTTGCTCCTTCTCTATGATCTCTCAACATTTCCCTCTATATCTGACTTTATTATCTAGACCAATAAAGAACTCCTTTTACAGATCCCTGTTAATCATCTCCTTGACTATGGTGAAGCCAGGTAAGAACTGGTGTCTCCCCTTTCCCTTCTCCCATTTGATAGGATAAGCCTTCTCCATTTCATAAGCATCAAAACAGCAGGTAATGAATAGAAGGGGAAGTTCCTAGTGGGGAACAGATAACGTAGGTCAAGATTCCCTTTTCTGTGAAGGCTTCCAAAACTGAGATGATGAAAGGCCGATTTCCTACTAAAATAAAGTGGTACAATTTTCTTTAAAACCCTTCAGGGGATTATTATTTCTAATTTTTAGCCCACAACTATGCTACTCAAAATGATATGGATACTTTTCTATGGTTGAAGGGTGAACAGAGGGTTGAGTATGCATCTCCATTGGTAGTGTATATTTTTTTCTGGCATACATGAAAGCCTAGGTTCCATCCAGCATGTATAACACCAGGTATGGTAGTTCAGACTGTTTTCTCAGCATTTAGTGCTCTTGTTTAGCAGCAGGAGTGGACCCTCTGTGAATTCCTCTTTAATACTAAGAGTCACAACTGATAGTCAAATTTAAGTAAAATGTATGTTATTGAGCTCTAACTTAAAGGCAGAACAAAATACTGACAAATAATTTCCTGAGTAGGATAATCATTAAACTCAGAAAAAAATGAAGGAAATAATAAAGCAAGGGAAGAAATTACAAGTGTATGTATTTCCACTTTCCCCCTGGCTGTTCTTCCTTTGTGCATGAATGTGTCAAACTCATATTCCATTGAATTAGAATCTTACCCTTGAGATTTGTCAATTAAAAACAATCCAAATATCTTTTAAGTAAATATTGAATTCAAGATGGGGCCTTTGGCTTTAAAGCCTTGAGTAAGACAACTGTAATTAGATCTATGTATATTAAAAGGCCTGGCCTTTGTGAACCAGCTGATGAGTTGTGACACTAGTATTTTACAGCAGACACTACAAGGTTATAGGGCTGCTTCCAGAGTTTGGTACTACAAAAAGGAAACAGCATTTCCATTTTAGTGGGTTTTAAATCAGAGTCAAGTTATAGACATCAAACAATGTCACAATGCTTTATTTTATTCATAATAACAAAAAATAATGTCTTTAAAGATTCACAGGTTTGAACTGTGTCAAAGAACATATTGTGTAAATTCCCACTGAATCCACTAGTCTCTTATACTACACACAAGTATTTGTACCTCTTACTTCAAAAACTATAATTTAATAATATCATTATTCCTTATCAATTAGAATAGTTTTTCCTTTGCTAAATAAGTGGCTGTTTAGTTTACACTTATGTGCACATCATTACAGTAAATGCCATGGCTGAAAACATAGCCTTTCAAATAAATAATGAAAAACAGTCCTCATGGCATACAGGGAATTCTCAACTTTACTTTCAGTGAAAGTGCTAGTTACCCCCACTTTTGTTTATGGTCCGGTTATGTTCAGTAAAAGTGTTTGATTGGAATGCATGGAGCCCTGAATTTGAAACTCAGCACCTCAGGAACATGTACAATGGTATATGCCAGTAATTCCAACAACTGCATCATGGAGGCCAGATGATTGAAATTCAAGTTCACCTTCCTAGGCCTAAAATGGGTACCTGAATCCTGACTCAAAGAGAAACTGGAGTTGGGTACGATATACATTCATTGGCTTCACTAAATAAAATAGAAGACTAATTCTTTAGTTGCTAGTTCTGGACTATCTATTGCTCACATATTAAATAATCATGGTTATTTTTACTATTTTGTCACATTTTAATTACCCTTGATGATTAAAGTCAATTTCTAAAACTCTATATAGATAATAATGCAATAATTAGATTTTCTATGCCCTTCTTTGGCAGTTTACAATATCTACCTAAATTTATAGTGCAGAATGCAACCTATAACTGTTTATCTATAATCTTATCACAGATTTCATATCATTCTTTTCCATGCAATTTAACAGCATAGCATACAATTTCTAGAGAACATATAATATGTTCATATGTATTATGAAAGAAGCATAGTAATTCTACTATTTCATTAATGTACAACAAAAATGTATTAATAATTAGTTGTTGCAGACATGAATTGTTCTAATTAAAATCTACTGGCTCAATACATGTGAAAAGCTAATGTCTTACTTCTGCTTTATTAGTAGCATTGATTGGACTCCCAGGTTCTCTTACCTTTCTTCCTGCTGAAAGCACGGTTCATGATGTGGATGGATCTTCCCAGCTGTTCAGCTCAGTAACACTCAATATCCTGAAAAAAAAAAAAAATTAATGAGGCATTGTTGACCAACATACTCTGTGTTTACAACAGTTTTTGTTTGCTTTTTTGAGAAAAGGTCTTGCTGAAGTGCTGAGAATAGAGTGTGCAATGCTACACTCAGCTCTTAGTGCATTTTAAATTACAGAGCCTTTAAGAAATGCTAAATACTCAACAAGCAACCGTCTGCCCAGTCTCACATGACAATAGATAAAGATAAAATATTATGGAATACTATTAGGGTCAGAGTTAAGTGCAATATGTCAGCTCACAGTCTTCCAAGGCATGCATATTATTTATTATATTTATCTGTAAATATGTAAATATAAGGAAGAAGGGTATGTTTCTTCTGAACTTGTTGAAAATAAATAAATCAATATTAGGGAATCTCCTAAACAACAGATATAGAGAGGAAAATTATTATGCTTTGAAAAGTAAACTCATTTTATAAATACATTCACTATATAATACATTTAAGGGATTTTTTTTTTTGTTCTACAAAAAGATTTTCCAACTCAGACACTTTATTTTACTCAGCTAATGTTTTCATGTAAAAATTACTTCTAGATACCTTCTCAGCAATACTGCACATTAACAGTTTATGAGGAGGTTAAGGTTAGAATCCCTACTTGGAGGCCCAGCAAGAGTTAAGTTTATGGAAGAATGCGGAAGAACTATTTTCTTTAAGAGGCAGACACTCTTGAACTGATATTACATTGGTCATCACTAGTTAGTACTGCCAGAATATTCCAAAGTAACTCAAAAGACTTTTTGGAATTACAATATATTATCCTTTCATAACTTACATTGTCATCTTTTACAATTACTTCAATCATGATGATGGGAGATGTCATTCTGTAAATATGTTTCTCATATTGGTTAATGAATAAAGCACTGTTGGCCAATAGGAAAGCAAGATAGGTGGGACTAGGAGACTAGGAGGAAAGAGGAAGAAGTAGGGAGGAGTTTCAAGATGTAGGACTAACAGGGTAGTCCACTGGGCCCTCTCTCTGGTAAGATAAGACCACATGGAAAGACTTGGATTGATAGAGATGGGTTAATATTTAAGACAAAGCTGGCCAATAAAAAATACTAGTAACAGGCCAACAGCTTTATATCTAATACAGCATCTCTGTGTGTTATTTGGGGCTGGTGTGGCTGTGGGACCAGGCCGGTGGAAAACATACTTGTAAAAATATGAAGTTAAAATATCTGTTTAATAAAACATTAGCTGAGTAAGATGAAGTGTCTGATTTGGACAGCCATTTTGCAGAACAAAAACTAACTTAGCCAAGTTATTGTATGTGTGAATCTATTTATAGAATGATTTTACTTTTAAGAACATAATAATTGTTTTTCCTATCACTGTTGTTAAGGAGAACTCCAAAATTGACTGCTTTTGTTTACGAGTTCAAAAGAAAAGTAACCTTCTTCCTTTAAATTTATAGATAAATATAATAATGTGCATGCCTTGGAGGATATTGAGCTGACATATTGTCTCTTATAGTATTACATAATGCTTATCTTTATTTATCTTCCATGATAATCCTGATTACAGAAAGCAAGGGGAGTTCACATGTTCAACTGACCCTCCCAATTCTGTGGGCTTTAGTCTTCCAAGCATCAAGAGAGCAAGGGGACTCATGGTAAGGCCTTTCCACAGCCTCATCACTTATGCCCAAATTTCAGTTGACAGAAGAGAAAGATCAAGAATTGATTTTGGTTTGGGAAACACTTTTCCCACCACATTCCTATCCTCAGTCCTGTCACTTTCTCATGAGGAGTATATCCAGCTTTTCATCCTGAGTATGTCAATCAGCATAGAAGCTCCATTCCAGGGGTACTCTTAACACCCAAGCTAGCCTTAAAACATTGGACTGTGCATCTCTCATTAATGTGATCTTTACTTACTTAATAGAGGAATTTCTAGTTCAAGGAGATGTAACCCAGTCAGTTATGAACAATCTCCCCTGAAACCAAGACCTATAATTGTTCATCTCAGAGCACTGGAGAAGAGAATATCACACAGAAAGTTTAGAGGTACATGAAGAAACTCCTCTAATAGAAAATCCAAAGAATTAACTTTAACATTTAAAGAGATCAAAGCTATTACACAGAAGCCAATAGCAATGATCAATCAGAGAAACCAATCTCAAGAGATTGTGAGAAATGTTTCACTTTATCTATGGGGAAAGAATAAAGACAGGATTACAGCTTACAAACTATTAAAGAAGGATACCCTCCCCCGCGCAATGAAACTATTCCCAGGAACATTCTCATCTCAAAAGTATACTCAAGAGTATGTTAAAGATTGGAGAATTATTCACCACCAAGAAAATTAAAATTCATATGAACATTCCAAAATCAGGAGTGCAATCGAGCCAAAAAAATAAAATCCAAAATAAAGAGAAAAGGTCAATGACAACTGATCCAGGGAGGAAGAATGATTTGTCCTGCTCTCCTGTGAGGAAGCCCAGACTAAAATCAAGGAACTATGGACTTGGAGACAGATGTATTTCCCCAAGCTTCTCATTAGGATTAAAAAAAAAAAAAAATGCAGTGCAAAGAAGGGTGGAACTGAGAACACAGTCATTCAATTGTTTAAATCTTCCAATGGAAAAAAATCTTAAAAGTGGCCAGAGGGAGAGTAGGAGAAGGGAGCACAGGACTGGAGAGGACGGTCGGGCAGAGGAGATAAAAATAGTCCTTGGATCTAACTAGACTACTTTGATGTTAACATTTTCTTTACAAACTATTAACAATAGATGAAATAGAGAGGTGATTTCATATTCATCTAATTTACTTTATAAGCAAAATATTTAAAGATACCTAGGGTCAACCAATATTCTTTAAGTAAACAACATATTTGGTAGAAACTAAACTACTGATATTTATACCTGGCTTAAAAGTTTAAAGTGGTCATCTCTTAAGCAAAAGCAGTTTTCTGGTTATCAATCTGATATTGAAGCTTTTGTTTTTTTAAAAATCCAAATATGCTGGATGCATATTTAATACTAGAAATTGCAAAAATAGTTCTGAGTTTCATTTTTTACCCTTGTGATTCCATTTGGAATCAATGTTCCAGGAACAGTTTTAAAGTATTGTGGGGGGGGGGCAAAAACTTATTAAAACACACATGAGCTCAACAGATAAAAGTCACTTTAAGATCTTGTTGTTCATGAAGATGATGCCATTATAATTAAATGTGGTCAGTATTCAGTTATAGATAGAAGGTAAACTTGGAGAAATACAAAACTTTTGTAAATAATAACGATATATTTAAATTGTACTCTCAAGTCTTTTACACATTGGTGAAACTGCATGTCTTTGAGGTGGTTGTTAGAGAATGGTAGGCATTCTTACATCCTGAATTTACTCCACACTCCCAAACTGATACAAAGCAAGTGCTTGAATTATTGCAACCAGCTGGTGTGCAAAGAGTAATGACTTCCTAAATCCTGCTAACACAATGCAGCTTGTCCCTGATGCTTGCCTTGATGCAACTGGTATCTGTTGTAAAGGTTCTCTGCTGAAATCCCCCAAGGGTAAGACATTTAGGAATATTCTTCATAGATTTTATGCCTGTACATTGTAAGCAGCTTTGCACTTACAGACAGATCAAATCTAAGTGACAGTAATAAAAACAAAGCAAAACAAAAAACCAAAAGCAGTGCACAACCAGAAAATTCATGCTACATGATAAGTCAAGTAGTACAGGAGTGTGCAGTGTCCTCTGAACTCCCCAAACAGAATATATATATATATATATATTCTGTTTCCTCTAGCACAGAGGTGACTTGAACCTGATTACAGTCATAAAAATATTTGCTATTTCCATAGATACATTTTGGGACATTATGTACACTGCACTACAACAAGTGTATCAAGATTAAAAAAAAATAGTATGACAGGGTGCCTACTTTTAAATTCTTACCATATTTGGAAGTAAGAGAGAGTGCACCTGGAGCTCAGTGAAGAGGCAAAAGCCAGATGAAAGATGAACATGCAGAAGATGTAGCATGAGGTGACATTCTTGTCCAGGGGATGGGTGGGGGAGCTTGTACAGGGGGTGGGGATATGAGTAGATAACTTTCCAGACTGTCAAAAGCTGATGTGTGAGAAGAAATGCCTGACTCTGACAGAAGCTTAAAATGTGGGTGGGACTTGTTCATTGTATGCATGGAGCGCCTAGCCTCATGTCTAGCCTTCAAAGCACCTCCAGCCCCTCATTAGGGCTCTGTTCTAGCATGTTCTGCAACAGCTGGTGGAGCACAGAATGGGTTAAGAGGTGCATCTGTGTTCTTGGTTTAACTGATCAAAAAGAAAAGCAATAATAAGCACCTTACCCTAACTGACATTTAAATCCATTAGTTTAAATGGCTTTATTCTGACAACAGTTTCTTTTTAAAGAAGATTTTGGTAAGGCACATCAAAAATCATTTCTACAGCTGTGTCTCTTGCACTGTACAGTTAGATCTTGGAACAGTGCTGGCATATCACAAAAGGCTGTGTAGTTATCCAGTGACTAGAACGCTGTGCTTATTCTCTGGTATCAGCCTGGAGGGGCTCCATCCCTCAGTTCTCACATCCTTAGGACCAGAAAATGACACACAATTGTCAGAGAAACCACTTTTCTGCCAATGTAAACTGGATCTCCACATGTGCACTTCAGTATCTGCGTTGTTCTGAGATAAACTTCTCAGGTTCTGGCCATATTTCAGGAGTTACACATTTAGGTTTTCATTATGATTCTTTCCCATGGCAATTAAACTATTTTCTTACTTGAATTTCATTATGAAGTTGTGTCCCTAATGAAAGTCAGATGCCTTTCTCTAAAATGAGATAATTACACAGAAAAAAATGTTGCTAAGAAAAATATTCTCAAAGACTAATGAAGTATTTAATAGGAAACACCATTGTCTATGCTAAAATAAATATTTATCACATACTTGACTGGTGTAGATTGTGGAAGATCTCAAACATGTCCTTCCTTT